CGCAGGTGCGTTATCGGCCTTTTAATAAAAGAGAAGGCTCTTTTCTTGAAGTCCCTATGTCGTATTGGTCCGGAAAAGTCGCTGGTGGTAGTCGATTCCGCAAGAAAGTTGTGTGCAGAAGAAAAAAATTCTACTTGTAAGTTGCACAGCGGTAGACCGCCAATCATCCAAATGGTATGGATGGTATGGTGACTTGTCGCGATGTGCGATGGTGAGTTGAGCGGCTGCAATAAGTCTGAACAATTCCTCATAACACTCCGTGGTAGATACGAAAAATAGGCAAAGAGATACATCTCTTCGCAGTGCCAGTGAGTCAAGGCGATCAGAAAAAGCTCGGTCACCGACAATTCGAACCACTCTGCGATACTACGATAAAATGCAAGGAGGTGGCACTGGGGAGCCCCGGCCCTGAGATGGGAACAGTATTCCATGTGAGGCCGAACCTGCGCCTATTGCAGGCCACGGTCTGCATGAAATGCTGTTACACTTTGCTGAGTACGCCAAGCTTTTTGTAAAAAAGAAGCGAGGCCATATTGTCCTTCCCTTCCCTGCAGTAATTCGATATGTCGACGCCGAAGATTCCGTTACTGGCTGAGGCAATAAGGGGAGTGCCCTGAAACTGAGGAAATACGAAAAAGGGGTTCTTTTTAGCGGTAAACACGCAAACTTGGCTCTTCTGGGTATTGAATAGGATTAAATTTAGTCGCTTCCAATCCGAGACTAATTTCAACGAAGTTTCAACTTTAGACACGAGTTAGTCCGGGTACTTGGCGACGTTTTCCTGAGAAATATTGGGACGGCCGGTGTATAAAGCATCACCAGTGCTGTCGTCCGCATAGCAATGAATGTTACCAGCTTGCAACATATCATTGACGTCTAGAAGTAACGGCGTTGGTGATAGCTCACAGCCTTGTGGAACACCAGCGTTAATACGCTTGTAATCGGAGCGACAAACGAAGCTCGGATGACAAACGAACACAGTACTTCTGACGGTAAGTGGATACTGTGGCCAATAGACATCTACATCTATCCTCGGATAAGAATCAAATTACAGATGCATTGTCAGCCCTGAAGACTAAGATTAAATGCCTCTTTTCCATTAAAAAGGGTCTCCGGTTCTCTATACTCATCACTATACAAAACACAGAAGCATTAGCAGCTATTTTACGCTGGTATTTTGTGAGAGCGTGGTCACTCCCGGTTGATCCGTCCCATTCGTGTTACAAACACAATATAAGTAGCTGTAGCATAGCACTATCACGCTATTTTTTCTTAATAAGATCAATAATATTTGGGTATACTTATGACTTTATGTGTATCTGTTCGAAAAAATAGATAAAAACAAAAATATTTACTAAGTAAATGTCGACAAAGCTAAATAATATACTAACACCAATAACCAAAGACTTCTACGTACGGTCAATTCTCCGTATCTCCTTTAGTCGACGGCGAGCTGGGAAGACTGGTCCTTTGTTTTATAAACCGCGACCATTGTTTTCGACAATCTATGTAATACTGATTGTGTTTAATATGACTAAGAAAACGCTATCATTATTTATGTGTGCACTTTGTCAACGTGAAGTTTATTTCAGATAAGTATCTAACTTTATTTTGTATTTGTCTGAGTACAGTAACTGTCGTAAATGAAAATACAACTGCGTGACATACGAGTATTTACCGTGCAAGTTACGCTCCCAACTAGCGCCCGCTCAATCCACAGCTGTGACAGCTTTTGTTCTGAATTGCCGTTCTAATAAAAGTTAAAGTTACAGCCTATATACACGTTCCACTGCTGGGCACAGGCCTCCTCTCATTTCAAGGGCAAGGAAAGGAAAGGTCCACCGCGCTGCTCTAATGCGTGTTGGCGAACTTCACGTGTTTTCGAAATATATATTTCTTTTTTTTATTTGTTAGACATGCAGGTTTCCTCACCATATTTTCCTTCACCACCGAGCACGTGGTAAATCAGCACTTAAAATTGCAATTAACAATTTCATTGGTGCCGGCGGGGATCGAACCCGGGTTTTTCGCTTACTGTGAAACTTACAGCGAGCGCTAACCATCTGAGCTACCACGGCTCTAATAGGTAAACATTTTTTTTTGTTTGGCATCAAATTGAAGTTTTTTTGGCATGGAAGTAGATCTAATGATCTACTTTGATGCCAAACTTCAATTTTCTAAGTCTAGAAGTGGGCTAAGGTTTTGAGCGGTATAGTCAGTCTGTGAGTTATATTATAGGCCCGTTTCAAACCATAATAACTTAAGTACTATTATAGGTTTCACTACTACAAATTTGATTAGCTGAAAGGAATCTAGGTATTTAATGAATGACCTTTCAATGAGAGCTCATAATCTTCCGCTCGCCAGATGTCGCCAGTTGACACTGAGGTGAATTTTTTTGTTACACAATGTCATTTAAATAAGTTAATTTTAAATAAAAGTTTATAAGTTTCTAGAGTAATAAATATACACAAAACAATAATAATAATAAATCTTTATTTCGGATAACAAATGAAATCCATATCAGAGATATTAGAAAAATCACAAATTAATAATAATAATAATAATACAGCTCGGTGGACGGAGGAAGTAAAATGACACGCACGCACGAACGCATTGCGCGATGGAAAGGACGCGAGGCGGCTTTTTTGTGCATTATCGCGTGTTATCAGTTACATAATTTCTATCATGAATCGTGATAAATAATAATTGTATAATTATCGTTTTTGTTTTATAATATTACTTTTTAATTATAAAATATAAAATAGATTAAAAGTCACTGTATTGTCATAATAATTACCATTGATAATTTTGTTTATTTTGAGATATTTTCTAAGAATATTATAAAAGTAATTTCATCTTCTAAGCATTCGTAATTAATTCACTCATCAGTAATATTTTATAAGAGTATTTAACTTATGTTCATATTATAAAAGTATTTGGATTATATAATTCTTACACATTCAAACTGTTGCTAAGTTCAGTTTAGATAGGTAGCAGGGATAAGCTGCCACCATTGTGCGATATTATAAAAACGATTGCAATAAATATTGAATGACTATTCGTGTTGTGAACTAGTAAAGCAAACAACAAGTAATCAAGCGTATTATTACCCATCCTGTGACTCCTGTAATACGCGTCAAACCCGTCGGTGCGGGCCTCACAGAACATGCCTGAAGCGCTGCAGTAGCGGGGCAGCCCGAAAAGAACTCTAAATGTTATAATGCACCTTTAATTATTATACGCCCTTTGTGTGTAATTGACCCAAAGGGAGCACGAATAGAGAGACTGGCAATATGCCTTAAAAAGAGTTATTTTAACGGCATTACTGCATCGTCCAAATCTACGGGCTAACATATTACTCCGGGTCGCTAAAGCTCTACGCTCCCTCTTCATGTCCATTTCATCACGAAAATCCTCGGTCACGTAGTATCCCAAGTATCTGAATTGTGGTACCCTCGATAAAGCAGTGTTGTAGAGTCTGATAGGTGATATGTACGTGGGACTAACAATGCATTGGTGGTTTGCTCTTTAATTTTTTGCACATTTTAAACTTTATAAAAAAAACTACTTTTATGAATATCTGTGGTTTGGTTTTTTTATTTAATTAATATAACTAATAATACAGAACGAAACATTTAACCTTTACATTTTCCGAACAAATTAACCTCCCCGCTATGAAATCTGTCAAATATTACACCTAATTTTAAGTGGCGCCGCCCTGGTGGCAGAAAAAGTCATGGATGCCCTGAATGTAGCCGTGATCTAGGGCTGTTTTCACCTGTGGATAAAACGACTGCTTGTTGGATTAATTCTTTTATCTCCTGTCTCGATTCGAAAGGCCAGATTTGATAACCTTTGTCCGTCGTCGGCGTAGCTGGCACCCTCTCCTCCCCTGGGTACACCCATAGTACAACTAATAAGATAGGTGAGGATAATATGGTCGGTCGCCCTATAAAGCCAAAACTAGAAGGAGGACAGAGACAAAAACACAAAATCGTATACTGTAACTAATATATTAAGGAAAAACTAGTAAACAAGTTTTGGCAAGAATTAGGAATACTTCGAAAAATCAAATAAAAAAATACTATGCTACGCAATATTAAAATCGACTAAAATATTTACAATAATTTCAACTGCCAAAATGGCGTCGATAAAGCAGCGCCGTTTTGACCCTTTATTCTTTGATTGACTCATGAAGAGCTATCTAACATGGCTGTAGTTTTTGAGTAATAAGAAAGTGACTGTAATAACCGGATAACCATATTACCCTATGGTCATCCGGTTATTACAGTCACTTTCTTATTACTCAAGAAAGTGACGTAAAGTAAAGATATGTATCTGTACATAATTTTATTTAATTATACATGTTAAATAAAATTATGTACAGTAGAACGCCGATTATCCGAATCGCCAATTATCCGAATCGGTCCTAAGCTTAATATAAAAAATTATAACCAAGTACAGTAAGTAACATTACTTAGATTACTTATACAATACTTGGTTAACTGATATTAAAAATAACAGTGAAAAAATTTTAAGTTTTGTGACCGCGTTGGAAAGTGGTGATGGATGTTCGTCGCGAAAAGTAATGAAAAAGGCAAAAGATGAACAGCTTGAGAATGCTGTTTTTACGTGGTTTCTGCAGCAACGATCTATTGGACAACCGATTTCAGGTTCGATTTTATGTGAAAAGGCGCGAATGTTCAGTGAAAAAATGGGTGTAGCTGGTTTTACTCTTTATAAAACTTTATAAAGTGTAAAACCATTTATAAACTTAATAAAGTTTATTCTATGTGTGACAGTTTGTTTTTCTATATTACATACCAGTCTATGTCCGATTATCCGAATTTTCGATTATCCGAATCGACCCCGGTCCCAATTAATTCGGATAATCGGCGTTCTACTGTACTAAGAAATATAAATAATAAACCATATCAGTAATAATAATTTTATTTTCACATCTGCAATACAAGTTTGTTGGTATTATATGAATTATGTTAATTATTTTGTGGTGGCTTAGACCATTCAACATTCAAAATTAAATGATCGTAACCATATCCGTTGAGGGTTTGAATAGCCTTTGCAGCGTCAGCTCGAAACTTGAAATGTACATAGGCAAAGCCTTTGCATTGGCCAGTACTCTGAAATAGAAAAATTAAATGTAATAAACATTGATAACCTATTATTATGTGAGAAAGATAAAAAGTTAAGGTCACTTGAAACATTATAAAATAACTATTATAATTATAGCACGTAAGACATACAGTGGATGTTCAAATTATTATACTCAACATATTTATTCCGTTTATTTAGTATTTAAAACTAATTATACTTTACAACGACGGTTTTAGTTCAATCAAATAAATTGAAAATGATTACTAATTTTATGCTTTATAGTTTACAACACTAAAATTGTCTACTTTTAACTAGGCAACACTGTAACAGCCGCTATTTTGTTTCGTTGTCAATTTTGCATTTCTGTAAGCACGTGCTCTGTGTCTTTATTATAACTAAGTGAAGGATTTATTCAGTAAAATGTATGTTTTATTAGTTTTACTTTGTAATTAGTTATTATTCTTCTTGCATTTCGCTGTTTTTTGCTGTCTAATACATATTTTATTTTAAAATTCGTCTTTTTCATCAACATAACCTCACTTTCAATAGATTTGAAGATGGGGAAGCGTTCTGACGTGTCTCCAAAAAAGAAAACTGAAATTAAGACTTTGCTACAACACTGTAAATATTCTCAAAGGAAAATAGCAGAAATATGCAAGGTTTCTCAATCTACAGTGCGTAATATCAGTAAAGCTGTTCAACAAAGGGAGTCCATGACGCCGAAACGTTCCGGAAAATGTGGACGCAAACGCATCACTACGCCTCGAGATGAGCGAAAAATTCGGCAAATAACCATAGAAAATCGGAATAAACCCAGAAAAGTCATTAGATATTCTCGAAGAGGCTGGAGTGACTCTGTCTGACATGACGTTACGTAGAAGATGGAAGGAACAAAACTTTTCCTGCCGTCGACCATTGAAGAAGCCGAAATTGACTCCTGCCGTGCGTCTGAAACGCCTAGAGTTTGCAAAAAAATATAAACACTGTACCGCAGAAGACTGGCATAAAGTAATATATTGTATTTTAAACGTATTTTGTATTGTATCACTGTATGGACATGTCTTTACTAATGTGAATTGATCATGTTTGGGATTTCTAAGTTTGCTTCTCTGATGAGTCGAGTATCCAGATCTTGCAAGACCATACGCAGTTTGTTCGTAGGAGACCAAATGAGAAATTGAAAGAAGACTGTATTGTAGAGAGAGTGAAGCAACCACTATCCATAATGATCTGGGGAGTTATCAGTGCAAAGGGTAACGGACGCCTCTACATAGTGGAAAACACCATGCGGCAGGATCAGTACCTTAAAGTTCTGTCAGAAAAACTGATCCCACAGACATCAGAATGGTTTCCTAATAAGGATTTCCTGTTTATGCATGACTCAGCCCCATGTCATAAAGCAAAAAAATTGACAAAATTCCTAAATGACCATCTGATAAAGGTGTTGGAATGGCCTGGTAACTCTCCAGATTTAAACCCCATAGAAAATGTGTGTGCTGCATTAAAAAGGAAATAGCTAAAGAAAAAGTCATAACTAATAAAGAAGAACTGATTGAGAAGATAATCAAAGCTTGGTTTAACACCCCAGAATTAAAAACAATATCAAAAAATTGCATAGACAGCATGCCTCGTCGACTTCAAGAAGTTATTGCACAAAAGGGTGGTTTTACAAAATATTCATTTGTAAATAAACTTAAATTAAATTAACTTTTTACACCAAAAACATGTTTAATTATTTTCAGAAATAGTTTTATAAGCTCTAGTGAAAAAATAATACCAGTGAACAGATTAAATTTATTACTTAAAGAAATTTAAACTTAAAAAACTTAAAAACAATCATGGTTTGAGTATAATAATTTGAACACGCAATTTATTATTACACACCTAAAATAAAATACAGTTTTATGTTCAACGACTAGCCAACTTGTTAAAATAGCTTAAGAGCCAGTGAGCGGCAGACTTATGGTATTTCAATAAGCTTCACTTTTTTTTCAGTTAATCCCCTATACCGGAGGTACATGAAACGGGGACTCTTTAGTTTGACCGGCGGTCGATATAGACACGCTCAGGTGTTAAAGGTGTAAAAAAATGACCCCAAAAAACGTGATAGCAATAAGTCTGCCGCTTAGACATCTTGAAATCTATAATATAAAAATGAATCGCTGAATGTGTTTCTAAGCGCAAATCTCGAGAGCAGCTGAACCGATTTCGCTAATTCTTTTTTTATAATATTCCTTGAAGTACGAAGATGGTTGGATGGGATGGAAAAATTTTAAAAATTGTCTGAAAAAGTCTAAAAACAACACTTTTCTATATTCCCATACAAAAGATTCGTAATAATACTTCAAAGTCAATTTGAACTTTAATACCATAACATAAAGTTTAAGTGTTAGTGGAGGGGTTCCACGAATTTTTCTGCCACCAGGGTGGTACCACTTAAAAGTGAGGTATAATATTTGTCAGAATTCATAGCGGGGAAGTTAATTTGTTCGGAAAATGTAAAGGTTAATGTTTCTTTCTGTACTATTAACTATATTTTGTATTAAAAAGATTAAAAATAAATAAACCAAATCAGAAATATTCATAGAGTAGAAAAATTAAAAAAAGTTTAAAATGTGCAAAAAATTAAAGAAAGTAGCGGGCAAGCTGGCGACTGGACGGTGAGGCGCGCTCGCGGCCATACCATACGTGTGAATTTGTTAGTGTGTTCACGTCGAGCTAGCGGCGGAGCGCGCGATTCACGCGCGGCTTTAGATAAGTTCAACCAGTTTGAACTTTGTCCGACAGTCATCCTTGTATATCCAAAAAATTTTGCAGGATATTCTCTCAAATTACTGTTAAAGCCGTGGTAATTCAGCGGCTAAGTACTCGCTGTAAATATCACAGTACGCCAGCAACTCGGATGCGAACCCCCCGGTTGCACCAGTGAAATTATTAATTACAATTTTAAGTACTGATTTACCACGTGTCCTACAGTGAAGGAAAACATTGTGACGAAACCGGCATGTCTAAGAAATTAAAAAAAAATATATTACGAAGACATGTGAAGTCCACCAACACGCATTGGAGCAGCGCGGTCGACTTTTCCTAGCCCTAAAACCTTCTCAAAAATGAGAGGAGGCTTGTGCCCAGGATTAAGACAAAGTAAGATGTAACTTTTTTAGCGTATAAGGAATGAAATTCACCATACCGTTCTCCTTCTTTATTAATTTCGTGCACACCTATTCTACTTTTTATTATCATCCACTTTAGGTAATTTTCGATTAAAAATACAAGATCGTCGTACATGTTTACAACTTCTGTCAACACGTCACACTCGCGCAAACGCCTGGCGGCCAATGTAAACACGAGCTCGTCCTCGCTCAAACCACCGCGCCTGCTGCCGCCCCCGCGCCCGCGTATTTTACGTGAATAGGCACTTAAGTTAGGCATGATGGGATGTTCAATTGCCTTGATGAGCCACATTAGACTTGTTCAGATACATGGGATGCTGCTCAAAAGGACAATTATTCGATTATTTGTGGAAATAAATATAGAAAAAGGATTGTTAAATAATTAAACATTTGTACAGCCGACTTCAATATAAGTTATTAAGAATAACTCAATAACTACTGGTCTGAGTTTGATCAAATTCATATGGGACCACATGAGAAGTATCAGCTTTCAAATAAAAAAGGAATCATCGAAATCGGTTAACCCAGTAAAAAGTTATGAGGTAACACACATTAAAAAAAAAATATAGTCGAATTGAGTACCGTCTCCTTTTTGGAATTCGGCAGAAAAAATACGTTATTAGTTGGGAGACAGAACTTGAATCAAACAAGTAACTGAAGCGAAAAGTCTTGTGGGAGCACTCTGTCTCAGTCTGTTTGTCAGATGCTGGCTGGAGATACATCTTTTCTTCAGGAAAAGGTCAGCTGTTGACCGTGGTAGGGCCAGGCGGCAGCTTTTGCTGTTGCGAGTATGGGCCGGCTCGAGCCGAGTTGGTATCACGACCTCACAGAAAGAATACCGGCGTGAAGTGGAAGCTCTGCCTCTGCGTTTCGTCTGCTAAGTGCAGGTGGGCGGAGGCCCATTCCCCCCCCCCCCCCCATCAACATTGTAGCGGAATTAAATTACCCCGCGTTTGTTACTTCGCCTACGCGGATTCCAGATGTGGAGGATCATACACCTTCCCTGTTGGACCTTCTGCTGACTTCTCATCCGGACGGATATCCGGTTTCCGTCAATGCCCTCCTCTCGGCTCTTCGGACCATTGTCTGATCCGGAGTGTGGTTGCCATTCACGCTCCCATCGCGGTTGCGTTCTGCAGGTTGCCGCCGTGTTTGGCATTACAGGTCGGCGGATTGGGACGCAATGCGGTCTTTCTTTGCATGGGGGCGGGTTTGCTTCTCACCGGATGATCCCAGCGCTGTTCTGACTCTGTCACTGATGTGGTGCTACAGGAAATGGAACCATTTATTCCATCATCTGTGGTAGTACCCATCGGAGGCAGATCTCAGCCTTGGTTTAGTCGCTCTTGTAAGACTGTATTACGCAGTAAGCAGGAGTGTTATCAGGCCTGGGCTGAGGCTTCGGCGGCTCGGGATGTAAACACCAGCATGCTTAAAAATAAGTATAACTTCGCCACCAGGTCCTTCAAGAGAGATATGAAAAGTGTAATAGCCAAGGCAAAGTCAGAGCACATTGGCAGAATTGGCGAGAAACTAGTTCGCCTTCCTTCGGGAACCCGTGCATCCTGGTCTCTCGCCAAGGCTGTCCAAGGGAATTTCTGTAAGCCATCATTACCATCTTTGCACAGGGAGGACTACTCACTGGCCCATACCGCAAAAGAGGAGGCCGACCTTTTAGGCTCCCTTTTTGCGTCCAACGCGACTCTTGATGACAGGGGGAACACACCACCAACTATCCTGCGGTGTGAATGCTCCATGCCGGATGTGCGGTTCTCACAGCGCTCGGTTCGCAAAGCACTCCTCTCCCTGGACATCTACAAGTCGAGTGGGCCTGACGGAATCCTCCCAATTGTGCTAAGGACGTGTGCTCCGGAATTGGCACCGATTCTAACGTGTCTTTTCCGGTACTCCTCCCCAGGCGTGGTCCCGAAATCATGGAAGACAGCTTTTGTCCACCCGATCCCTAAAAAAGACGACCGCTCAGACCCGTCCAACTATAGGCCTATCGCCATCACCTCCATGTTATTAATGGAATCCATTATAAACTGCCAGCTCATGCGGTACCTTGAGGATCACCAGATGATTGGTGACCGCCAATACGGTTTTCGTCGGGGTCAATCAGCTGGTGATCTTCTGGTCTACCTGACTCATAGATGGGCGGAGGCAGTAGAGTCCAAGGGGGAGGCATTAGTTTGAACATTGCGAAGGCCTTCGATCAGGTTTGGCACAAAGCGCTTCTTTCGAAGCTCCGTTCCTATGGGCTTCCTGAGAAAGTGTGCAATTGGATCCTTGCAGATCGTACACGGTTGTACACGGTGCATGCACCGATTGCTATCTCCAACGCTGTTTCTTCTGCATGTCAATGATATGTTGTAAACCGGTAACATTCATTGTTATGCGGATGACAGCACTGGTGACGCTCTATACACCGGCTGTGCCAATATTTCTCGGGAAAACGTCGCCGAGTAACGGAACAAACTTGTGTCTGAAGTTGAGTCTCGCTGAACAAAGTCTTGGATTGGGAGGTACTAAATCTAGTCCAGTTTAATCGTCAGAAGACACAAGTTTGCGCGTTTACCGCTAAAAAGAACCTCTTTGTCATTTCTCCTCAGTTTCAAGGCAACTCACCTTGTTGCCTCAGCTAGTATCGGAATCCTCGGCGTCGACATATCGAGTAACGTGCAGTTTCGTGGTCACTTGGAAGAGAAGGCCATATTGGCCTCTAAAAAGCTTGACGTGCTCAGCAGAGCGGGGCAGTATTTCATGCCGCCACACCTCCTGCAACTTTACAAGGCGCAGGTTCGGCCTCACATGGAATACTGCTCCCATCTCTGGGCTGGGGCTCCCCAGTGCCAACTCTTTCCACTTGACGCATCCAGCGCAGAGCGGCTCAAATCATCGACGACAGAGTCCTTTCCGATCGGCTCGATTCATTGGCGCTGCGAAGAGATGTTGCATCCCTTTGCATTTTCTTTCACATTTACCACAGGGAGTGCTCTGAGGAATCGTTTGGATTAATCACCAAATTTCACAAACGCACATCGCGGCAGTACTTCTGATACTATCCACCATCTGGATGATTGGCGTTTCTTTCTGATCGGCTCGATACACTGGTACTGCGTAGAGATGTTGCATCTCTTTGTGTATTTTATCGCATTTACCACGGGAAGTGCTCTGAGGAATTGTTCGGACTAATTCCAGCCGCTCAATTTCACCATCGCACATCACGACAAAACTTGCGATACCATCCACACCACCTGGATGATTGGCGGTCCACCATTGTGCGATTTAGAAGATGTTTTCTTCCTCGCACAACTTCCTTGTGGAATCAATTACCACCACAATTTTTCCGAACCGATACGACTTAGGGACCTTCAAGAAAAGAGCCTTTCCCCTGGTGTTGCAGTTGTTCATGGGCGGCGGTAGTCACTTACCATCAGGTGAGCCGCATGCTCTGTCCCCTCTCCTATAAAAAAAATACTATTGCCAATAGAAAATGTAGAAAGGTAGGTTACAAAGATAATCAGCTCTGCCAGATAAACCAGTTCAATTGTAAAAATATTAAGTATACAAACCTTTTCCTTTGCGAGGTAAAGTTTTTGCACTGGACCAAATCCACGAACAAGATCATCAAGATCGGCCTCTACCGCAAAGTTACTAAGATTGGATATACGTATGGCAGTAGTGTCGTCGCGTCGAGGGCCCGGCGGCTCACGGGGCAAGTTTCGAGCAGCACCTTCCCGCAAGTTCGGCGCTATGTACTTATTAGTCGTGGTCGTTTTCACTTCTGTAAAAACAATTAATTTAAGACCAGGTTGGACAAAATATCGTATTTTAGACACGATTATGACGCTCGAGAATTGATACTTCTTGAAACAATATATGCTGGGAATACTATAAAGTAACTTTTTGTCCACCAAATTTTGCACGCTTACTTCATGCTAGACAAATATGCACGCAGTGAGGAAAGGAATGTGAAAATCCTTTTAACGTAGGAAAGCTTATGTGAATGGAACCTATCTTATTACAATATTTGCATGAGCTCTAGATTTGAATCTTAGCCAGAGCCAACATTTGTAAAAACCCAAAATGTTAGTTTTCAGATCTCGTTATAGGATTGACCTAGTGACTTTGATCATAAGAAAGCTAAGACAAGTAAGAAATAATGTGTTAATGTAGCACAAAGTTTATACTACATCTCCTGTGCACTTATCCATAGACAAAATTCAAAAGTTCTTGTTCTTTAAGTATTTTGACAAAAATGCATATCATTAAAGTTCAAACTAGCACAATGACAAAAAATCTGCATTTACCTGCTGCTTTGGCGGCTTCATTAGCCTTGGCCATTACAATCTCACTGTTTTTGAAAGGACAACTCAAAGTCCAATGTTCACCTTGGCATGTACGGCATTTATAGATGACGCTGCTTGATTGAGGCTGAAAGTGAAAGAACCTTTTACACTGTATCAACCTTTACACCTATGGATGTTGAAACCCTCTCCGCACAATCCCCTATACAAGATTTCATACTTTCATAATAATATTAACACAAGTAATTAATACCTTAAGACCATCAAGTTCACCATCATCAGTCCTTTGGCTCTCTTCTTTACTGGTGATAAACTGCATATACACATCTTCAGAAACATTGGTTGTTGCAGGATTAGGCCCTGGTTTATCATTAGCAGAATCACCAAATTTACTCCAGGTCTTACGTTTAGCAATGCTCTGTAATGTAAAGATACTAAATTTTTATATATTGTCTTCTATTTGCAAACAGAACACTGCTACAGACCATCCAATTCAAGATTTTCCATTATGCTTTTTCATATCTGCTACCTAGACAGATGGATATTAGTCTTAAGAGTGTAGTATAACATAATTTTTATTCTATAGAGATTACAATACTTATTGTCTGGTGTCGCTCTCTTAGGTCATTAGTAACATAAAAATTCAGTAATGTTTTTCAAGGAACTCGGTTAGCTCAAAAATAGTCTGTAATTTCAGCCCACATGCAAAATAGGTGCCTCAATGTCGAGTTATGGATAATGACCAGGATCAATCAATCAATCAAGGAATTATCATTTTGTCATCGACATCAATAACATTTTTAAATAGGCCCATGAATGAAAGTATTGATACTGTTTTATCAATAAAAAGTATTCTACTAATTAAAAGATTCTATTGTCATTCATATTTTTCTCAGTTGAAGTAAGAATAAAACATAAGTATTAATCAATGTTTTTTTTTTTACAATTATTTTTTTAATTTACAAATTTTAATATTATGTTAATTAGTGTTGTTGTGTGATGTGATTGCATAAACAATTAAAATATATGTAAAGTAAATAGATAAATTGTTACTATATTTATATTATACATACAAAATTTCACAGTAATCTGTCCACTAGTTTCGAGAGCCACATAACAGGCCTTTAACAGATGTCTAGAAGAAGGTACTTTTCCAACAGTTTTAAAAAGATCAATCACAATTATAATTTTTAAAAATGGAAGGTGTGACATCATCACTAACTACTATCTATTAACTATATCATATAACTACTAACTATATAATTATTCCCATTAATATCTAAGCTTCTTGAAAGAATAATAATCACTAGACTCTTAAAATATTTAGAAGATAATGAAATTCTCTCAAATGGTCAATTCGGTTTTCGGAAGGGCAAATCAACTGCTGATGCTATACATGTTTTTACAGAATTTATTGTGCAAAAATTAGACTAAAATAAAAAAAATGTATCAGAATCTTTATTGATCTGCAAAAAGCTTTTGACACTATTTCATCTTCTAAATTGATAGAAAAACTTGAAAAAATGGGTATTAGAAATGTACAATAACAACTTTTTAAAGATTACCTAGAAAATCGCTCATGAGTTAGGATAGGAGAAATTGTTAGTGATAAAAGCCCAATGAACTACGGAGTAACACAAAGCACTATTATCGGTCCAACAGTCTTTATTTGCTACATAAACAATCTTTGTCAATTAAACATCCCAAATTGTAAAATAATTTCATATGCTGAAGACACAATGACACAAAATCCATACCAGAGGGAATCCTAGTTTGGACACAAATTTACGTACTCAGATTTATTTATAAGAAAAAAAATCATTTGTAACAGATAAAAATAAAGGTTATTAAGGTGGAAGCTCCAGGGTGGCCTGCGAAATTTAAATTTTCTTACGTTTTTTTTTTGGAATTTGCAGGTCAGGGTTAGGTTGTATATTTAACAAAATATGAGGCTTAGCTTTCCATTTACTCCCATCGAGTTGGCGGTTGATACGTATTTTTACAGAAAAGTTACCCTATTATAAGCACACACACAAAGTTACAATATGTGGAAGCGCGTAGTTTTTGAGAAAAAAGTTATTGAAAATCAATTATTCTTGCTTGTAAACAATACATCTAATTCTACCATAAAATATTTTGTAATGTCATTGTCGTCAGTAGGGATGTCGATTCTTTCCGAAAAAGGTCGATTTTTAAATCAATTCAAATCGTAAGCTGATGTATCGATTCATAAAAAAATTGATTTCTAAAATATCTATTTTTTTTATGTTTGCATTTATAATGTAAATATAATTCCATTTTATGAAAAACAAGAAAGATACCATAATAAATGATCTCTTATTGAAATTTGTTTTATTTCAACAGTACCAATTAGGGCAGATAACAAATAAAATAGGTTAGGTTCAACTTATGTCAAAGAACCGAATTGATTGAACCCGACTCCACCTGGTACGAGTCTGTCCTACCCCTAGAGTGGTTTTATAGCACCGGAGACGTAGCAGTTTCAAAATAAATACAGAAATCCTTCTGAATCAGTCCCCCTATATTTTATGATGAAGGGGACTTCTTTCTCATAAAATGGATTTATATTTACATTATAAATGCAAACATGAAAAAAAATATAGATATTTTAGAAATCGATGTTTTGGGAATCGATACATCAGCTTACAATTCGAATCTATTTAAAAAATCGATATTTTTCGGAAAGAATCAACATCCCTATTGACAATGATAATAAAAAAATGGCGTCAGTTTTATTGTAGGATTAGACATAAACAATAGAAGAATAATTGATTTTCAATAACTTTTTTCTCAAAAATTCCCTTCCGCATATTGTAACTTTGTGTGTGTGCTTATAATAGTGTAACTTTTCTGTAAAAATATGTATCAACCCCCAACTCGATGGGAGTAAATGGAAAGTCGTGATTCGCGACCGTCGCGATTATGTGTTTACGGAATTATTTTCATTAAAATCACCAATACACCCCTGTAAGTTCATATTAGCCCTTTGAATGAGTTTTTCCAGAAAAACTCATTCAAAGGGCTAATATGTATGTATAAATTTGAATTTTGCGGGCCACCCTGGAGCTTCCACCTTAAAGGTTTATATTATACTGGCAGGATTTCATTTACAATTTGGCTTAGCTTTCCATTGACGTCAGTGGAGTTTGGTGTTGATACGTATTTTTACAGAAAGATTACACTATTATAAGCACACACACAAAGTCTCATTATACGGAAACGCGTAATTTTTGAGAAAAGAATAATTGAAAATCAATTATTCTTGCAATGTTTATGTCTAATCTGCTAATAAACTGGCGCCATTTTGTAATGTCATTGTCGACATCAATAGGGATGTCGATTCTTTCCGAAAAAGGTCGATTTTTAAATCGATTCAAATCGTAAGCTTATGTATCGGTTCACAAAAAATCGATTTCTAAAATATCTATATTTTTTTAATGTTTCTATTTATAATGTAAATATAAACCCATTTTATGAAAAACAAGAAAGATACCATGATAAATGATCTCTTATTCAAATTTGTTTTATTTAACAGTACCTATTAGGGCAGGTAACAAATAAAATAGGTTAGGTTCGACTTATGTCAAAGAACCGAATTGATTGACCCCGACTCCACCTGGTACGAGTCTGTCCTACCCCTAGAGTGGTTTTATAGAGCCGGAGGCGCGTAGGGGGAGCAGCCTCCGCCTGCTGTAACAAATCGTAGGCATCGGACGAGCCGGAGCGGCTGAGGCTGGTCGCCGAAGGCGACCAACAAGCCGAAGCTACGGAGGCGAGGAGGGATGCCTGCGATTTGTTACGCTAAGGCGTAGAGGTTGCTCTTCCCGCAGCGCCGGAGACGTAGCAGTCTCAAAATAGATACAAAAATCCTTATGAATCAGTCCTCTTATTTTTTTATGATGAAGGGGATTTTTTTCTCATAAAATGGATTTATATTTACATTATAAATGCAAAGATGAAAAAATATCGATATTTTAGAAATCGATTTTTTGGGAATCGATACATCCACTTACGATTTGAATCGATTTAAAAATCGACCTTTTTCGGAAAGAATCGACATCCCTATTGACGTCGACAATGACATTACAAAATGGCGCCAGTTTATTAGCAGATTAGACATAAACATTGCAAGAATAATTGATTTTCAATTATTCTTTTCTCAAAAATTACGCGTTTCCGTATAATGAAACTTTGTGTGTGTGCTTATAATAGTGTAATCTTTCTGTAAAAATACGTATCAACACCAAACTCCACTGACGTCAATGGAAAGTCGTACCTACAATTTTTTATAATAAGTATTTAAATTTTAACATACCTTTGATACAACTCGCTTTTCAATTTTATATGTTCGAACTATTTTGACTTTTTTGTTGTCATTGTCATATTTATATTCAGTGACAATCTTCAAACCATTTTCAACTACCTCAGAAGGTGGTGGCAGAGCCCCCTGATCAATTTCTACCTCATCAGCCCAAGAGGACTGGATATCATCAGCTACTGGCATCTACACATAAAATACAGTTATTAAAAAATACAATGATGGGCATGAACCAGGAAAAGCCCAACGGTCCACAAATGAATCTACAGCCCACCCGCGGCATAAAATAATTATGTATTATACTTATTTATTATTTATATATATAAGTATTTCTGTGAGAACAATTATGATTTTACTTTAGAAACACATTTTCTAACAAATGAGCAGGCTAAATAATCATATAATTTTATGCTAATATTCTACAATTTCGTCAAATACAAGTGATCAATTCTACAGAATATGGGGACAGACGTTTCATGGAAGTTTGTTATTGAAATGATTTTGATAAATTTATAGCATAAAAATAGAAAATGATTGGGTTATCTCTTCTAAATGTATCAAAAAGCCTTGAAAGGCCTCAAGGTGCTTCATACACGAGTGAAATATTCAGTGCAGGAGCCACTGTTAACTGGACTGGATAATTCATAGTATCAAAAAGGCTGGCATTGCATCTGCAATTCCCCTGGTATTGTGGTTGTTCATGGGCGGCAGTACTCACTTACCATCAGGTGAGCCGCATGCTCGTTTGCCCCCACTCCTATAAAAAAAAGAACACCTCATTAACATCAATTTTTTTGATGTTAATGCTGTAACCTTTACTTTTTAATCTTTACTTATGCCCAAATACTCAAATGCTGCTCAATTTTAAGATTCTGTTGAGTTTAGTGTTGCCTCTATCACTTAAAGTCTGTGAAGTGGCTGTGACAGCATGAGACTTAACATCATCTTTTGAGTATTTGGTCATGGTCATCACGAGGTAAATTTTGTAGAATGTACAGAACCAAAATTAAAGTAGTTTATAATCGTTCTCATCTCCAAATAACGCCATAATTAATAAAATAATGACCAAAATTAGAGTCCCTTCTAAAAAGTTTGCCATCACTTTTCTCGGGCATGAGAATAGCAAAATGGAAGTAATTAGAACCACAGGCCACATAAACTCTTTATCGAGAATTTGCAACTGATTTAATACAAAGTATATATATATATATAACATTCTGAAACAATATATAATTTGAGGAGGTATGTACATGTAAAACCTAAAGTAAAATGACCCACGTACTTGTAAAAAAGGCCAAATAACTGAAAGAATCACAAATATGAACTGTATGATTCACGCAACATAATAAACTAACTGTTTTTGATAGGCAGCATTTCTAATCTGCATTAATTTAATAAATTATCCAACGAGATAACCTCCTTAAAAACCATATCAAACATTCAAACAATGATACGATTAATAAATACTATACTTAAAACATTTTACTCTTTTACTCCGCCAAGTGTGTTCAAATTACCTTTTGTTATTTGTCTTTTATTGTCTATTTAATCGCGAATTCACGCACCATCAGTTATAAATGTGTACAAATTATAATAAGGAAAAGGAATGAGAAGAATGAAAACTGAAAAGACACGACACGACACAGACCACAGATTCAGTAGACCACAGAACACTAATACTAGGCGTGTGTATCTCTTTACGGAAACGACTCACTGATACGAATCACTGAAGTGACACAAAAGATTGGTTCAGTAACAACGTTTCAAATGTTCATTTGTATCTGGAACAGTGAAACATTACTTTGCTCTTTGCTCATTTAGCGCGACGCGTCGCTTGCGAGGCGACTGAGCCACGAGCGAGAGAGAGAGACTGAGACAATGATTAACTTAACTATTGACTCACGAGTGGCGAGTGAGCGGGCGAAATAATTATAATTCACACAAGTCAGATAGAGATAACAAATAAGAAGTGTATCACTCAACTCGTACGGATTTTCGCTGACGTTATTCATGCACGTAAAAATTACCACTAAGGCGCTTATGTGTCAAATACTACACGGTCGTTTTTTGTATGTAACGTTTGCATTAACAAGTTGTCATTTTACGTTGATGCGGCACTTGTCAAATTGTTTATATTCATTAGCGCCTGTTTACGAAAACATACTGAGTTATGTTTAGGATTTCTTTGCGTAGTGATTATTGTGACTTTACTTTCTTCCTTTTCATTATAAAGTTTAGAGTTATGATACTTTACGAGTAAATTCTGTGTACATAGACATTGCTGTTTTGTGTAAATGGACATTTTTGTAAATAATGAATTGACATAGTGACATTTTTGTTAAAGTATGAAGGAGAATCGATTTTATATACAATCTTATTACGGTACACAATAAATAATCTAAGCACTTATATTATTCAGCATTGTTGCCACATAACATTTCACGGATCAGTCAGTAATAAACCCCCGCGACGCAACTTAATGTATTCGGAACATTCTTTCTTTTATATCTTTTGAGTCGATGATACAAATGAGCCAAATGAAACATATCAGTGTTTCGGAACATTTCAGTGATCAAGATGCAAATGTTCCAATCCCAAAAATGATACACTTTGCCCACCTCCAACTAATACCCTTAGGTGGGCAATAGACAGAACAGATTTTTTTTTTGGAGTTTATGGCAGTTATCTAGACCTTTAGGCCAAGTCTTGAGTATTTTTATTCGGTTTATTATTATAATTTCCCCACTGTATTTTTGATGAATTTATATAGAGACACGTAATAGGATCTATTTTTTAATATATCACTCAAGGGGCGGGAGGGATCTTGCACTGTCACATGATTTTGCACTATGTCACTAATTTCACTGACAAGAATCGTAGACTCGTAGACTCACAGAACACTAATAGTATTATAGGCGTGTGTATCTCTTTACGGAAACGACTCACTGATACGAATCACTGAAGTGACACAAAAGATTGGTTCAGTAACAACGTTTCAAATGTATCATTTGTATCTGGAACAGTGAAACATTACTTTGCTCTTTGCTCATTTTGCGCGACGCGTCGCTTGCGAGGCGACTGAGCCACGAGCGAGAGAGAGAGACTGAGACAATGATTAACTTAACTATTGACTCACGAGTGGCGAGTGAGCGGGCGAAATAATAATAATCCACACAAGTCAGATAGAGATAAGAAATAAGAAGTGTATCCTCAACTCGTACGGATTTTCGCTGACGTTATTCATGCACGTAAAAATTACCACTAAGGCGCTTATGTCTCAAATACTATACGGTCGTTTTTTGTATGTAACGTTTGCATTAACAAGTTGACATTTTACGTTGATGCGGCACTTGTCAAATTGTTTATATTCATTAGCGCCTGTTTACGAAAACATACTGAGTTATGTTTAGGATTTCTTTGCGTAGTGATTATTGTAACTTTACTTTCTTCCTTTTCATCGTAAAGTTTAGAGTTATGATACTTTACGAGTAAATTCAGTGTACGTAGACATTGCTGTTTTGTGTAAATGGACATTTTTGTAAATAATGAATTGACATAGTGACATTTTTGTTAAAGTATGAAGGAGAATCGATTTTATATACAATCTTATTACGGTACACAATAAATAATCTAAGCACTTATATTATTCAACATGGTTGCCACATAATATTTCACGGATTAGTCAGTAATAAACGCCCGCGACGCAACTTAATGTACCTATTCGGAAAATTCTTTTTTTTATATCTTTTGAGGCGATGATACAAATGAACCAAATGAAACATATCAGTGTTTCGGAACATTTCAGTGATCAAGATGCAAATGTTCCAATCCCAAAAATGATACACTTTGCCCACCTCCAACTAATACCCTTAGGCGTAGACTGGTATGCAGTAATCGGTGACAAGAATCAATCTGTCAAATGAAAAGAATCATGTGTCAAACTCACATGTAAATATGAAATAGCTTGCTACATATTTATTTATCTATGATCTATGATATGAAATGTTCGATATCACCAACAGAATTATTGCAGAAAGTGCAGTAGCTGCTCTCCACTATGCCCAACCGAGCCAGGTGGGCTGGGACAGTGGAGTGACCAAAACGCGAATGTCTGTTTATAGTTGTAATAAAGTCCCGACTGGCCATTTTCAGTTTGTTATACCATGGTGCTACAGGTAGATTTTCTTGAACAGTTCCATTCCATTTACCCTTCTCTTCTTGATCTTGTTTCCAAAATTCGACCCATAAACTATTGACCTGGTTGTCAATAGATTGATAACAGTCGGTCAAAGGTACTTTTACTATGGAGCTAACATCCAACATGTTGGTTCCATCACGTGCAATTTTATCTACTACCTCATTTCCAGTTACGCCCCTATGTGATGGAATCCACATGAAAGAGACCTGTATACCCTTTTGTGCATAACTAAATAACAATTTTTTAATATTATACAAAATATAGTTTTTTTAGGTCAAATCTGAGATTGGTTAAACTTTGGACCATACTTAAACTGTCTGTTAAAATTAAAAAATTATTAAAACTATTTATATGTGCAATCCTCTTCAGGGCCTCGAGGGCCGCATATACCTCTGCAGTGAAAACACTGCATTTAGGGTCCAGAAGAAAACTTTGACCAAACTTGGATTGGGGATCATAAACAGCACTGCGCACAAAGAGTTCACTTTTGCTTCCATCTGTATACAAAGTATAGTAGTTATTGTCGGAAAGAAAACTTAATAATTCACAATTATTAAAAAAAATTTTGGTAACAATATTGGTTTCAAATATAATACAGGAATATGGGTATGTGTGGCATGTCCACTTTGATTGTTTAATTACATTTTTAAAATCTTCATTCATTTACTGTACAATGAGAGGCAGAACTGTGAAATAACCTCGTAAAAGCTCACCTCCCGAAGTCTGCTGGGCCGAGCATTGTACAGGAAAAGGTACTACTTTTTTGAGAACATTATCATTACCAGATAACAGCTTTAGTAAATATCTCTCTATTAGCAGAAGTCTTCTAAGACACAGTGGCATTATTTTGGTTTCAACTTCCATAGCTCATATGGGAGTTGAACACATAGCCCCAGAAATAATTTGCAGAGCTTTGTTTTGAATTATGTATGTAGTCGAAATGGCTTCTGACTATAGATTTATATAGCATACTTAAAACTTTGGGGTC